CTCTCTCTCTCTCTCTCTCTCTCTCTCTCTCTCTCTCTCTCTCTCTCTCTCTCTCTCTGGCCGTCTACGCGTCCCTTCCCCTGCCGGGGGTCGGGCCACTGCCTAGTCCCCGGAGGCCTGGCGACAGAGCCCCAACTAGCTCCACCTAATGAACCGGATATCAACCTGCTTCGAATCAATTGTCCCTCGCTCGCGGCATTCAATGTCCCTCCCGGTGTTCCCAGTGGCGCCTGCTGCCCCACCGCGCCCACCGGCCGCTTTACGTTGACCGTCCCCGTTGTCAGAATATGTTGCTCCAAATGCCCCAAATCAGTGTGCAGTCCTGCAGCAATCATTGGAGGTGAGAAGGAAAACAGGAAAGCAGATTGCGAGCAACCAAACAAATAGCAGCTGATGAGAGAAAATAGGAACATAGTCCTATTCATAAATTTGTATCATCGGCTTTCAAGATCGATTCTTGATTGAGATTTTTCAGTGCAATAGGGTATTGTAGGCTTTTAAAAGTGAAGTGAAAAAGGAAAAAAAACACGCTGATTTAAGACTCTATCCAGAGAGAATGATAAATTACCATGGTAGTTTAGCCCGAGGGGGAAATCACTTGCGAAATAGTTCGTACACCTTCCCCCGAAATAGTCCGAAATAAAGGCGAAATAGAGGCGAAATAGAGCGAAATAAAGACGAAATAAACGCGAAATAGTCGGTGAAATAGTCGCGAAATACCCCTGAAATACTCCGAAATAGCGCGAAATAGCCTGAAATAATCCGAAATAGACGGGAAATAGCCGAAATGGCAGGAGAAATAACCGAAATGGTAGGAGAAATACAACGAAATAGCCCGTACGCTACGAACCCTAGTGATTTCCCCCTCGGTTTAGCCCGATTCTAACCACTCAAATAATGTGGAGGGAAGCTCGAAACTGATCTGACTGTTTTTCATACTTTAAAGGCAGTATAGGCACAGTTATCGACCAATCAGAGCCATTACGGAAAAAGAAAAATCATGGAAAGTTTGTTCTTTTCCGGTCACGCTGGCCTGGAACGCATATAACATTTTGACACTTGTCAACTGTCATTTGACGCCGTTTTCATGGTTGATTTCCGATTTTCCCAAGGGTTTGTTGCGTTCCTGGCTGGACGAGGTGCTGTTCGGGCTGTACTGTCCTTAGCGGCGCCAGACGGCCCAGCCCATCTCAGCCTCCCACAGTAAAACAAGCACGACCCCGGCCCGCCGGCCCCCCAACGCGCTGCTCGCTGGCCACCGCGCTGGCCTGGCCGGGGCCTCGAGCCCTAAAGTCGGACGTAAAACCCGGCCAGCAACCGAAGAATGAGCAAATCCCGAACCATGTGCGAATGAGATGAAAGCGGGCCCGGGGAGGGGGGAGTGCGGGGCCCAGCGCGGTCTGCTGGCGAGATAGATGACCACGCCCTTGGAAAAAAATTATGCTGATCGCAGCAGCGCCATCTCCCGACGGGGGAGTAATGGCTGTGAGTTTAGAAGCATCGCATTATTTTGTTTATACTTCCCGAGGCAGTGAATTGAACTCAAGCTCTGGGACCCATAACCTCTTCCCGGCAAGCAATGTGCGGAATCCACTATTAGGCTCTCTCACTCGCTCCCCCCCCCCGCCTTCTGTCTCCCTCGCGCTTTCCCCCACTCCGAGGAGTCAGGACCCCCTCCACCTGTTCTTTTGTCTCTCTCTCTCTCCCCCCCCCCTTCTCTCTCTCTCTCTCGCTCCCACGAGACCGGAGGCACCCCGCTAGGTCCCCGGGCAATAATTTATATTCCAGCGGCTGATCGAATAGGATCTGCAAGTTTCCGATATCCGAAGGGAGCTCGCGAGGAAAGCAAGGAGAGGAAGGGAGAAAGAGAGGGAGGCAGGGATGTAGACAGAGAGAGAATGGGGGAAAGGCAGTCTTAGCTCTGAGACTCTCTAGCCGGCAAGCACGTAAGGAACTGTCGCGTGTTTCCTACATCCCCATTGGCGGGCGTCGCGCGTCCTGCCCCCGAGCTCTCTCTCTCTCTCTCTCTCTCTCTCTCTCTCTCTCTCTCTCTC